GGTCTCTATACAGACCAATACAGACCAATTGGTCTTTATAAAGACCTTTGGTCTCTATACAGACCAATTGGTCTTTATAAAGACCTTTGGTCTCTATACAGACCAATTGGTCTTTATAAAGACCTTTGGTCTCTATACAGACCAATTGGTCTTTATAAAGACCTTTGGTCTCTATACAGACCAATTGGTCTTTATAAAGACCTTTGGTCTCTATACAGACCAATTGGTCTTTATAAAGACCTTTGGTCTCTATACAGACCAATTGGTCTTTATAAAGACCTTTGGTCTCTATACAGACCAATTGGTCTTTATAAAGACCTTTGGTCTCTATACAGACCAATTGGTCTTTATAAAGACCTTTGGTCTCTATACAGACCAATTGGTCTTTATAAAGACCTTTGGTCTCTATACAGACCAATTGGTCTTTATAAAGACCTTTGGTCTCTATACAGACCAATTGGTCTTTATAAAGACCTTTGGTCTCTATACAGACCAATTGGTCTTTATAAAGACCTTTGGTCTCTATACAGACCAATTGGTCTTTATAAAGACCTTTGGTCTCTATACAGACCAATTGGTCTTTATAAAGACCTTTGGTCTCTATACAGACCAATTGGTCTTTATAAAGACCTTTGGTCTCTATACAGACCAATTGGTCTTTATAAAGACCTTTGGTCTCTATACAGACCAATTGGTCTTTATAAAGACCTTTGGTCTCTATACAGACCAATTGGTCTTTATAAAGACCTTTGGTCTCTATACAGACCAATTGGTCTTTATAAAGACCTTTGGTCTCTATACAGACCAATTGGTCTTTATAAAGACCTTTGGTCTCTATACAGACCAATTGGTCTTTATAAAGACCTTTGGTCTCTATACAGACCAATTGGTCTTTATAAAGACCTTTGGTCTCTATACAGACCAATTGGTCTTTATAAAGACCTTTGGTCTCTATACAGACCAATTGGTCTTTATAAAGACCTTTGGTCTCTATACAGACCAATTGGTCTTTATAAAGACCCTACAGACCAATTGGTCTTTATAAAGACCTTTGGTCTCTATACAGACCAATTGGTCTTTATAAAGACCTTTGGTCTCTATACAGACCAATTGGTCTTTATAAAGACCTTTGGCCTCTATACAGACCAATTGGTCTTTATAAAGACCTTTGGTCTCTATACAGACCAATTGGTCTTTATAAAGACCTTTGGTCTCTATACAGACCAATTGGTCTTTATAAAGACCTTTGGTCTCTATACAGACCAATTGGTCTTTATAAAGACCTTTGGTCTCTATACAGACCAATTGGTCTTTATAAAGACCTTTGGTCATATATATCCTTTTGTATTTTATTTATTATATAATAAATAATGTAAATAAAAAACTTGTATGTATTTATAACATAAACACAAAATAATTTAATAAAAAAATAATGTTTTTATTTAAAAAAACTAAGTTGAAAATAATCATACACATGGAACAAATGAACCACTAATTTCTGGGCTTAAAAAACGGAACTCATCTCAGTGTGTGTGAGCAAGAAGAACACCCAGATTTTGAGTCCATGTGTGTTAACCTATAAATATATATATATTTAGAAAAAATAATTCGTCACTAAATATTTCATTATTGTAATTTTATAAAAATTACTTTCAATGTAAAGTATACATACACATGCAAATAAAAAATTTTACTATTTAAAATAGAAAAGAAAAAAATAAATAAATGTAAATGGTTGATAATGGTTATATATTAAAAAAAATAATAATGGACATTCATATAGAAATCTCTATTCATACTATAGTGCTATCTTTCTCTATCTTCTTAACCCCCCTTTTCACTATCCAAAATAAAAGTTTCCCCCAACATTGAAAACAAAAAACTCCTACTCTAGTTATAAATAATAAAAATAATAATGATACTGTTGATCATCTATTAATACAGAAATAAATATAACAAAAATATATACAAAAAAAAGATAAATAATTTATATTTTATATTAATAAAAATGATTGCAAAAATGCTAATTATGTAATCCAAAAAGAATTAGTGTTAAAAATAAATGACAAAAGAAGAAATCATTATTAAAACAACAGGCATCTAGTGTTAATAAAAAAACGTAAATTGATATATGAAGTAATGGAAATGAAATTTAATTAAATAATTGTGTATATAGAAATAATAATAATGAATCAGTTACAAGTAATAAAAAAAGTAATATATTGTGAAGAAAAACGGAAAGAAACTAACTAAAAAACACAGGTATAAATTTGCAAACATCTATGAAAATAGCAACAACAACAAAGAGACTAAAGAATAATTAAAATTAAATAAAAAATATTAAAAAAAAAACAATTTAAAGAAAATGTGTTTAATATTATTTATTAGTTAAAAGGCAAATATATACTAAAAGTGACAGAGACAAAAAAACGATATCGGTTTAGCACGTGTAAACTACAATTTACAACTCGTTTACACGAAAGAGGGGTCTACGATCCGAAACGACCCGAGTATTTCTCGGCCAAAGTCTTTCACCTCAGCAGTAAAAGCAGTAGGGCTGCTACTGGTCAAAAATATATTTGCCCAGCTAAATTAACATTTTCAGATCACTGGATTAATTTGGGCAAAATTGTTCATGACATCTTTCAGAAATCATCATTAAACGCCACCCCATATACTTTGTCAGATAAAATTGCTATTCCCGTCTGTTGGAAGTCACGATAGGCTTGCAATAGTTAAGTAGAGTAGATTTTGACCTACCCCTATAATGTTGGTATTGAAAATAACATTTATGGGTCCAATTTGTATTGTATCTCCCGAATTTTTGCATTTTAAGGGTTACAAGCTATTTTTTTAATATTCAGTTACAATTAGAGGTAAGCCCCACATAACATCCTAAATTTTGGTAGTGTGAGGAAGTTTTTAAACGAAATGTTTTTTTTTTTTTTTTTTGATACTTTAGTTTTATCATGACATAGCGCCTAGATAAGAGTCGCGATTGATATTGGTGGAGGTTATGTTTTTATGTCCCTTTACGATAACATTTGAATACCAGAATCTGTCGTAGACTAGATTCTAATCTTGACCGACAGCATCCCCTCAGGGAAGTTATTGACGATCGTTAATTGGACACGATGCCTTGAAAATCTATGGAATATTTCCATAGGACCATGGAAAAAGTTGTCCTTATTTTTATACCCTTAGTCTTATGGCTAATGAGGGTACTTTGACACGATGAAAATGTGCCTCATCGAGTTATTGGTTTTAGACCCCATGTTTCTGATTCAGAAAATTTGGAGTCCGTCCGTCTGTCTGGTCGGCTGGTGCGCAAGATAATTCTCGAATGGATTTATCGATTTCATTCAAACTTTGCACATCTTAATATTTCTTTCAAATTTTGTTCAAGTTCGAAGATGGGGACTGTCGGGGCTTAACTCTAGTTTAGTAAAAACCATCAGATTTTTCTGAAATTTTTTACCCGAGGTAGGCCCATATCTTTTGATCCACAACAGATACAGCCATATATCGCACCATTTGGAAAGGGCAAATTGTGGTCTATCATTTGAGTCAGGATTGGAGGGAGACTTTAATGAACCGAAGTTCGACACAGTTTTTGACTGTATCTCCAAAACGGTTTGAGATACCCAATTTATATTACCCGGATCCGTAGAACCGGATATAACCGGGTACCCGTATCCAAAGTTCTGGGTCAAATAACCGGGTATCCTGGTACCTCCCCCAAGAAAAAAATATATCCCCATAATTAGGGTAGAAATTCGTACCTCTGGAAAAAAAAATCTGATCGTTTTTACTAAACTAGAGTTGTTCTAATATCGGTCCACTACTTCTAGTACCTCCCCCACAAAGAGTCAAAATTTTCAATATTTTTAAATCCAAATTCAGGGGAATGGATTATTGAACCAAACCTTGCACAACCTATTATCTTTACGAAGCCTAGATCGAGTCCGAAGATGGGACCCATTGGTCCACTCCTTTTTGTACCTTCCCTCCAAAAAGGGTCAACATTTTCAATATTTATAAATCCAAATTCAGGGGAATGCACTATTCGATTTGAACCAAATCTTGCACAACCTATTATCGTTACCAAACCTATATGAAAGTCAAAATTTTCAATATTTATAAATCCAATATTGGGCGATTCCATTATCTTTACAAAGCCTAGATCAAGTCCTCCCCCATAAAGCGTCAATATTTTATAAACTTGTAAAATTTATTAAATCGAATCAAAATTAAGGGAATAATAAAACCTGTGTTTAATTCCGAAGACCACCGTAAACCATAGGCTGAGGATATATATCTGTCGGCAACACCGGCTGACACTTTTTTACTTGTTAACCTACAAACTGACAATCAGAGCTTTTATGATTATGACCCATGCCAAATGTCAAGCAATCTACAACACTGTGGTCGATAGATGGACGATTTTAATATAACGCACTCACCTCTCTGAATTCACAAAATATTTTATATATTTCATATATAATTTCGTTCATGATGTTATTTTTTATTTTCATGTTTTTGTTTTTTATAAAAAAGTAATTTTTTTATGTATTCAAATTAACAAAAAAATTAATAAATCTTTTAAGAAAATATACATATTTTGTAAAATTAAAAACTAAATTGTTGAAGTTTACAAAATAATAAAATATATAATCTATGTATGTATATTAAAACACCCAAAAGGAATTAAAACGAAAAGAAAACAGGGATCGATCTGTGAGTTAAAACAGATTTAAGTATGATCGTTTGCCTTTTCTTCTTTTTTTAATTAACAAAATCATATAATCAAATCAAGCTTAGCTTTTGTGGTATAAATGGGTCGAGAGGGTAACGACGACCACACATACAGTTATCATGGAACAGCTGAGAATGGTAAGTTTGTAATAAGGAAACATACGTGGTAGAATGATTATTATATTTTAGCTTGTTGGAAATTAAACTAAATATTTTGTTTATACACACAGAAAACAAACGACGACGTCGAGTATTTACTTAAAATTGTAAATTTCTAGCTTCTAAGGTGGCCGCATCGGGGAAATATAAATGTTTCGATAATAAAAATGATAAAAAGGCCTGTCCGCCAACAACCAGGAAAAGGAAATATAGTTTTCGTTTTCGACCGCCAGTGTAATCCAACTGTTGGGGATTACCATAGGGATCATAGTTGATGGCACCGGTGGCAGCAGTTGGTGAGGTTTCATGCAGAACTTTGGTTTTCAAAGTTCGTAACTATAAGAAGAGATTTTTCAATTATTTACATTACATATGGAGTAAAAAAAGAGAAGAAAACTTACCAAAAAGAATCCCAACGATAAACTGCAATATGCCAATGCCAAATAATAGCCGAAACCATGGAACATTGTGCTCACCAATAGACATGCAGTAATTGTGACAAATTTATAACCCGCAAATGCCATTAGATCCAATGTCTTCAAATTCGTTTTAATGTTGACCACATATAGCGTGATTGTATATACGACCAGTTCAAAAATACAATAGGCCAATGCACTGGATGCCTGTATACTAAGGGCCTCGGGTGAGAAACGTTTCTGTAGACCCAACATAAGACCGGCCACAACAACAAATGTTATAAAAGCCATTGTCGGTATATACAAGTCGGGAGCATTGATATCATAACGAGGTTGTACGGGTTGTTCTTGATCATATTTGAGAGACCAATCCTAAAATTAAGGGAAGAGTATTAAAGTTTAAAAAAAATATTGATTTTTTTATTATTTTTGGGAACTTACCTTATGTGTAAATGGAAAGAATAACAACCTCAATTTATTAATCACATAATTATTATCCACTGAGAAATAGTATTTCAACTTGGCTACGGGTACCCATTTTGTAAATTGATTCTCGACCAATTGTTTACCCTGATCGGCCAAACGTTGACCATACTGCATGGCCATATCCTGTACAATGGGTTGTTGAAACATTGCAAATTGTGGAAATTGTCCAGCTGCTCCACCAGGCCCGGCTGGCTGTTGTGGCCCCAAACCGCCAAATTGTTGTTGTGGTTGTCCCCCGGGAACTGAGCTGTATTGTGGCGGTTGTGGTGATGATGCACCAGCATAACCATAATTTTGTCCAGGCATTTGCATGCCACCATTATTGAAATTACCACCACCCATCATTGGTGGTTGAGGTGATTGTTGGGGTGACATACCAAAACCCGCCGGTCCCGTATTACCACCTAACATTGGATCCAAAACAGTTGGACCATTTGTTGGCTGCAAATAAGGCGAGGTACTAGCCATGGGTGCTGCTGGACCCATAGCATTAACATCCCGAACATGTTTGATCTTACGGCCTGGACCAGAAGAAGCTTGATGAATGAAATGTGAAAAAAATAATTATTATTTTTGATTACAAGAACAGCAATGGCAGTACAAATGAGTGATAAAGCAAAGAAACAATGGAAACTTGCAAGCTACAGACAATGCATCGGCGTGGTGTGTGCATTTCATGTCTCAATTTATGTGGCATGTAACCATACGCACACACTCACTCACATATGAGTACACTGTCACACACAAAACGTAACAACAAACAGATCACAAACTAAGATAGTTTAGGTTGGAGGCTGGTGGACACATAACAATAACAAACTGATAGATAGCAACAGCGGCAGCATAGGCGTATGTGTTTGAGGCCGGGGTTTGGTTAGTATCTCTCATCACCATCATCAATTTTATTAGGAAAGAAGAATAAGAACATTTTTTTAAGACACAGCATCATTATAAAGGCCGAACGAAGAAATTAAAAATCCAAGTCCCCACTTCCTGGAAACCTTTGAACCACAATGGCATCCATTGCGCTTTTATCAACATCGACAGGCAACTCTGATGATTCAAGGCACTCCTCTTGGTTTGGGTGGGTTTGGGACTTGTATTTTTATGCATTTTTCTTTTTTTCGATTTTCTTGTTCAACGAAACTGTATTGTGGTGTACTTGCTTATTTCCTTGTCTTCCTTACAATTTTCCCACTTACGATTCCTTATGCCAGCATTTGGATTGTTATACATATTGCGTAGCTGCTGCAGCAGTTGTTCACGGATTTCGGGAGATTTATATACTTAATTTTTAATTAATTTATATAAAAATAAAACTTATTTCCTTTGCAAATGTAGTTTCATCTATAACCACATCACCAATAGCCCAATAGCAGCAGCTAGCCGTCAAATACAGTGATGCATATTACGTAGTACTATTGAATACCAAAAGTTGCAGCAAAGTATCTAAGGAGGGGAACAGCTGTTTTCATATTTAAGTGTTGCTTTTGACATTTACCAACACTGAAAAGTTTGAATGTACTGTACATTCTAAAGTGTTTTTAAAATGTTCAGTTGCACAAAGTTGGTAAAATACTGTTTTTTGCACCCGGATTTTTTTTGAATAACCTCCTAAAATTCGTATAATAGCCAATTATAGTCCCTAACCAATGTTGCCTCAAATTATAGACTAAGCATTAAACTTTCGAAAATGGTGCGAAGCTGTATTTGTTGTGGATGAAGGAAATTATTTTGCGTAATCGATGTTGGCGAACGGCCGGGGCTTGAGATTTTCACTTCTAGGATATGTTAACACCGACTGCGCATACAAAAGTGTTTCTGAATTAAATCTTTTTTCTAGATCCAATGTTTTTGTAATAATAATGGTACAATTATACAGTGTAAATGTAATACTTATCTGATTTGATTGCATCGTAATACTCGCGTCAAGTTCGATATAATATTTTTGATTTATGCAAATTTTATACACATTATAGTTTAAATAAAAAAATATAATAAATTTGGGCTTTAAAATTTATAGTTCTCTTTATGGCGGTACCAAGGTATATACAATCTGGAAACTATAGTTCTCAAGTTTCACAGTTTGTCCGAGTCTACTGGACGTCTTGCGCGTTGATACCATTAACTTGGTCTTCTCGCCATTTCTGCCAGACCCACTTTGGTAGATTCCTTCTCAATTTGTTCGCTCGCAATGTTCGACCCATTATATCGATGTCATCGACGTAGGCGAGTAACATGTGTTGTTTGGTGTACAGAGTGTCATTTGCGTCTCGTATGACCTTTTCCAGCAGGATGTTAAAAAGATCACACGACAAACTGTCACCTTGTCTGAAATCTCATTGGGTATGAAAAGGCTCCTAGAGGTCCTTTCCGACTTTATCTGCTGATATAGTGGCAGTTAAAGTTAGCCGAATTAATTTTGCAGGAATGCCAAACGCAGACATGGCTTTAAACATCTCTGAACGGATAGGGCTATCGAATGTGCCTCTATAGTCGACGAATAGGTGGAATGTGTCGATGTGTTTTTTGTGGGGTTTTTTCAGGATTTGTCGCAGAGTGAAAATCTGGTTAATGGTGGATTTGTCATACCGCATAGGTATGGTCCAATAATGCCATTCACAGTTAGCTTCAGTCGTTCACACAGCACGCTGGATAGCACTTTATAGGCGATGGAAAGAAAATTAATTCCTCTATAGTTGGCACATATTGTGTCCATATTTTGTGCACGGGACAAAGGGTGCTGAGGTTTCAATCATTGGGCATGCACTCCTCTAGCCAAATTGTACTAATCAACTGGTGCATGCTCCAGGCATGCATCTGACAACCAGTCTTGAATAGTTCGTCTGGTAACCCATCGGCTTCTGCTGCTTTATTGTTCTTCAGCCGATTGATTGCTATTCTGACTTCATCTTGGCTAGGTGGTCATCTATTATTGGTTCTGGGGTATCAACTTCACTGCTACTATTTGATACCATTAGTTTTTCAAAACGCTCCTTCCAGATCCTCAACAGGCTGTCTGTATCTGTCACCAGGTTTCCTTCTTTATCTCTACAGGAGGATGTGCCTGCACCAAAACCTTCGGTTTGGTGTTTTACCCGTTTTTCTTGCTCATGCTTACGTTTTTCTTGCTCATGCTCACGTTTTTCTTGCTCTTTCTTCTTTGTTCTGAAAATACGTTTCTCCTCTCTCCTTTTCTCCAGATAGTTCTCCATCGCATTACGTGTTGCTACTGTCCGCAAGGTTGCCCTATACACTGTGATTTTCATATCAGTAGCATTACGACTCCTGATCGTACCACTGATTTGTTGATGGTGGTCGTTGCTTTTTCTGCAGTATGTAGGGAGTGGGCAATTCTCTGCCATTGTGCTTCTATATTATTATCGGGACAAGAAGTGCTTTCGCCAAGCAGGTGGGTAAGTTGAGCAGAGTAGGCCTCTGCTACCTCTTGTGTTTTCTGCTTTTCGACGTCGAGTTTCCGTGTTACATTAGATCGCACCTTTGCTGCAACATAAAGTGTGAACCTTGGCTGCTACAAGGTAGTGGACCGAATCGATATTCGCTCCTCGGATCGATCGAACGGCTAATACACTGAATGAATACCTGCCGTCTATCACAACATGATCAATTTGATTTCTCGTTGCTTGATCAGAAGAAATCCAGGTGGCATTGTGTATATCGAGATGCTTGAAACTGCTGCTGCTAACTACCATGTTTTTTTTTGCTGCCGCGAAGAAAATCAACCTCATGCTGCTGTCGCATGGTTCTTCATGAAGGCTGAATTTTCCGACGGATTAAAATGCATTAAAATCTCCTAGCAGAATTTTAATGTCATGGCGGTGGGGAGCGGTCATATGCTGTTTCTAGGCGCTCGTAAAATATGTCTTTGATCTGATCATCTCTGTCCTCGGTCGGAGCATCGGCGCAAACAAGATGATGTAAAAGAATTTCGCTTTTATGCGGATTATAGCAATTGGCTCATCTACTGGAGTGAATCTGGAGACGAGGTATTTTATTCTCCTGTTAACCATAAATCCACAGCCAAATTCATGTCTCGTTTCATGGCAGCTATAATACAGGGCGTAATCATCTAATTTACTTGCGCCTGTCCCTTTCCATCGCATTTCCTGTAAGGCTATAATATCGGCTTTGTACTTCTTGAGTACATCCGCCAAAGCGAAAACTGCGCCTGTTCTGTAAAACGTGCGCACATTCCAAGTACGGATTCGCAGATCGTGGTCCTTTATACGTTTGCGGGGTTCGTCAACATTGGGAGGTTTGGTTTTCTTTTTCTTTGCTTTTTCATAGTAGGAGAGTGTGGGCAACTAACCCGACCCATTTTTATAGTTCTTATGGGTGAACTCGCGGCACATATCAGCTCACTATTTCAGCGGGTGATGAAAAATAGCTAATCCAGGTGACACCGCGGGAGGTCAGTGTCCACAATTTAGATGAAAGATGGACCAAGATAAGCTTGGCTTTGCCATGTTAAAGCCAAGCAGAGCTGTTTGCTATCTATCATCCCCTACGCCACCCTTGGCGTTACCACTCCGATATATAGGCGAATGAGTTGTTGCGGGTTGGCTCCCCAAGATACTTGTAGTTACCTTGTGTAATAGAAAGGACATAGAAACCGAAAAGACATAATAATTGGTCTGTACCCGTATTTCAAGAATCTACTAGATTTTACTATTTTCTTCGATATCATAAAGGAAAATTCGTTATCGTAGTAAAACGTAGTAGATTCTTGCAGTGCGGGAATATACCAAATATAATATTTAAATTCAAACTAAACATTAAACGGAAACTTTTGAAAACAACCATGCACTTCTTCTGATAACATTTGGAAATACAACCCTGTCAGTCAAATCCAACATGATCATGTTAATTATCGTTAACATTGTTAACATAAATGTTAAGTTCAATTTCTGATTTCAGAATCTATGTGTACGCACAGTTCAAATCGACGGTGAGTTGAGTGTGTTTGTGTTTTGTTGTGGCGGAAAGTTAATCATCTGGGATTCAAAACAAAAATTTTGCTAAAAAAGCCGGTTGGTAAGTAAAAAACAGATAACAATAAAGGTGTTACATTTTGCGGTAAACAAATCTAATTCATTAATTTGCATTAAGTCATTTTAGTGGAGTGTTTTTTTTATTATATTGAGGGGCTCATTAC